TCAAATGCGGTGTCAGTAAGATATGAGTCAGTTGAACTTGCCAAAAAAATCTTCGGAAATCTTTCAAGCAAGCACATATTGATTCTCGGTGCGGGAAAAATGGGCGAGCTTGATGCGGAAAACCTGCAAGGACAGGGAATTGGCAAGGTCACTGTCATTAACCGAACATACTTGAAAGCGAAGGAGCTTGCAGACCGTTTTTCAGGTGAAGCGAGAAGCTTGAATCAGCTGGAAAGCGCGCTTGCGGAGGCTGATATTTTAATCAGTTCAACCGGTGCAAGTGAATTTGTTGTGTCCAAAGAGATGATGGAAAACGTGAATAAGCTTCGCAAGGGACGTGGGCTGTTTATGCCGGTTGGGGGGGGGGGGGGGGGGGGCGTACTCTTACTCTTATGTTTTGCATGCCTTAGCGGTTAGACCATTGACCACGCGTCCTCGAGAGGACGGAGCATTGTTCCCACAGCGGGGGGGAGGGGGGGTACTCATAGTCGTGCATGCCGTAGTCGTTTGACCATTGACCTCGCATCCCTACAAAGCCGGGACGGAGCACGCCGGGTTCTCACCGGACCAGGCTCTCGAAACGAAGGTAAACCTGCAGGGGGAGGGTATGGCATGCTCTGTTGCCCAACATCTATACGATGCTCACCCCCATGTTCCACAACCCTAAACGTGGATTATATCGACCGCAGGGATTCGCCGCCCCCAAGACAGGGACAGCGGTTGCGTGTGGGGAGGAAAACCCGCGTGTGTCTCTACCTACATGACACCAGACGCGGGGCATGAACATGCCGCCAATTTATTCGCAATTCGTCCCGGGTCTGGGCGCCACGCCTAACCCGTGCCGACAGGTACACCACCGACTCTGCCAGGGCTTACAGAGCGTGCCACCACGCAAGAACCTCTTGTTTATTTTGGTCGACGCACGTTTCTTGTGTTGTCTCTTATGGGGTACTGCTGTACACCCGCAGCGCTATGCAAGCTTGAGTGCAGGCTTCTGGACCGAGCACCTGCCCTTAAGGTCGGAGGATTTGGGCTTTTTTTTTTAAGGCTCCTCAATTCCTTGAGTGGTAGTGCGTTCTGTACATATTTATAGACAAGATGTAAACATTTCCCCTCAAGAAACTACCCGGAAGCACGCTAAGACAAAAGATCGTCGGAACGATTCTCAAAACGTTCCTGAGGACCGTTCTTTATTAGTTTGGTAGTTCGCACCTTTCCGGGGAAGCCGAGAAGCTTGGCAAGGGTCTTCATGTCGGTGGGGCGGTCGTGTCTCACCGTTACCAGGATGAGACCTGCCTTCTTATCCTGCGGAAAGCAACAAAAGAATGCAAGGAACACATTCAGCTGCGACTAAGCGCATCTGTTTGTGGTTTGGGGCATGCAGTTTCTCGACAAGCCATAGCTCTAATTGTGGCATACACATGTCGGATTCATCAACGTGCTGAGAGCATCACAACTGCTGGCACTATCAAAGAGCAGAACTAAATGCTGCGGTCTCAACAGCAAAATTAGGGCGTACCAACTGACCCTGTCAACACTTTCTGGGTTTCAGCTTCGGTAACGTGCACGAATTAGGCAGCCCTCATCCCTTTTCTTTCGGAAACATCCAACAGGGCACACGGTAGCGGGATTGTTGACGTTCTGCATCTGTACTGTAACTGGACTAGTGGTCAATCCGGGAGCGGGGGGGCGGGGTCTAACGGGATTTGGTCTACATGATTATCTTCAAACTGTAGGGTTTTAGATGGTCTACTTGTAAACAAATACACGTCTGAAATATATGGGTTTTAGAATGCGATATTAAAACATATTGAAAGAGAGTTATCGCACAATATCTACTGTTATTCCGTAGACACCCCAACGAAACTTAATTACGATAACGAATATCTGGGGGGGCAAGACGTCGCATATCCCGCTACAGGTGCCCTCTTGAACCACCTGGTGGTGCCGCTCCATGCGACACACGGCACAGAGATCGTTAACGTCCCGCTCCTCTGTCCAGTACCGTACCATTCTCTCGCGACAGCACGCACACCTCCCCGCCTAACCGTACAGAATCCGCGACCCAAAATGGCTCTCTCGGCAGTGCACCCGCCGACACAAGAAACGCCGTAATCATGACCTCGTGACGCACATGCACATGCATACGGAGCAGTGCGCATCGTCCGAAAACTGGTACTGCCGTACAACCCTCTGCTGCGTCTGCGTCGCAAGCTGAACCAACGCAACTGCAACAGCCAACAACGACAACAACAACGAGGTGATCTCTTCGTCTGCTTTCCCCTCGGCCTGCACTGCTGTCTCCATCAGTAGATGTTGTACCTTGAGGAACAAATTCTTGGTCTTGTCCCCGCTGACGCCTCGCAGAGCCATCTCCTGCTCCGGCACCGTCATGGCCCTGTGGTGCTCGAACAGCGCCCCCTCGATCCCCAGCTCCTTCAGCTTGTCCAAAGACTTGTTGCCCTCCTCGAAGCCGTCCAAGAGCTTCGGCTCGGAGAACACGGGGGTGGTGGTGGTGCTGCTCGCAGCCTCCGCGGACGGCGGGGTCGCCGCGGAGCTACCGTCCACGACGGCCCTGCATTAAACAGCGTTTTCGAAGGGGTGGGGTATTAAATGGCCTCGTATGCAAAAAGGGCATGGTTGGGCTGGACCATAAGCCAAAATGGTGCTTCACAACAAAGCATCCGCTGCTTGAGGACTCGATACGGATCTACGGAGATCTGAGTTCCGTGTATCATTAGGTGGAATGTGTTCGTGGAAGGGCGGTCCCCCTTCTGCGTGCATGGGCAGGCATGTGCCCTGTGCTCACTCGAACATGATACGACAACCTTGTTCTCTGCGCTTTTGACAACAAGCTGCCCACCCCAAACACGATCGATTCGGTCTGGTTGAGGGCACCCGGTATTAGGGTACTATGATATACTTGACGCCATGAGACGTGCTACTACCACCTGACATACGTTCCCTGAAGCAACGCCGCGTGAGAAGTGCTCCTACCTGAGACGTGCTACAAAGCAGCTTTCGCTATCTTACGTGGGTGGTGCTTTATTCGTACATATTGTGTGTGTGCTGATCAGCACCTTTCTCATGGAGAGCTGGCACGGTAGGAAGGTCACAGGAGTGAACAATGGCCCAACATGAGGAGCCATGGAGGGCCAACATAGAAGGTGGAGATGGAAATGATGCGACCAATTACAATTCAAGAAAACCACGCCAAGCGTTGCGGGCGCGGCAGGCGATAGCACCTGCGGCGGCCGTTGGAGCGGCTGCCGCTGGGGATGACGCCTCGGTGAAACCACGATGCGTGCTTAGATTTCGGAGGTGCGGCGGAATTCGGCGCACCGCTTCGAACCCATCTGCCCAAAGGACTACGGGCCACGGTGCTGGACGTCAAGGGGAAGGAGGTAGCAATGCTCAGCAGACGCAGCAGCAGCAGCAGCGGGGTGATCCTCCTCGCCAGCAGCAGCAGCAGCGGGGTGGTGCTTCTCGCCGGCCGTGTCAACGTCGGTGGGGATGTCCTCCTCGTCACCAGCAGCCGTGGGCTGGTCGTCCCAGACAGCAGCAGCAGCAGCAGCAGCAGCAGCAGCAGCAGCGGTGGAGAGGTGGTTCTCGTCAGCAACGCCCGCAAATTGGGATTGGAGGAGCTTACGACTGCTGGAAGAACGAGATTTTCGGTCAGCGGGACTCGCCGCCTCCACCGACTGCGCCGGTGGGTTTAAGTGTGTGTCTGTGGAAAACATGGACGTAAGGCTATGCACTGCTGTGCTGCACCGGCGGCAACTGCTGATCCACGCGCTGCGGGAAAAAACACGGTCATCACACATCTCTAACTAACATTTGCTTGACATCCGGCAGGAAGAGGCAGCAGAGCAGACGGACGACGCCGACGGATTCGACGCCGGCAGGCCGAGGAGGTCGGCAACAGCAGCAACAGCAACAGCAACAGCAGGAGGGGCAACGACGGGTGGACTTGTTTGGAACGTTGCTGCGTCCCTGCGACCCGGGGAAACGCCGCATCGGCAGCAGCCGCAGTGATTGTGGACGGTACGCCGAGGAAATCGGCGACCCAAACAGCAGCAGTTGCAGCAGCGACGACTGTGGCCTGGATTGGAGCGTTGCTGCGCCATTTCGACCCGGGGAAAAAGCGTTTGCTGAGGGGGAGGGTTGGGAGCCGTGCTACCCCTTTAGAACGAGGAAAGACGGACGTTGGGGCGGCGACGGCAGGGGCGCATGCGTTTGCGGCCAGCCGGAGAGGCGAGGAGGGTCTGGCGGCCACGTGAGGGCGGGGCACCGAGATGTGTTGGCGGGAGGTTCCAAATCTGGACCGAGGCGCAACGCAAGGAGGTTGACGGGCTTGCTGCGGTGGGCACTTTCGAGCTTTTTTATGTTTTGATTTTTTGCGGTGTCTAGACGTAATTTTGGTTTGACGTTTCATGCGATGCGTCGCACATATTCCGTTCAGCTTGTAGATTGGGAAGTGTTTTTTTCATGAGTTTTCGTTTGTGCGTGTTTGTTGCAGAGGACTGAAAATAAATTGTTGCACATGAGCGTAGGGTGTTGATGGTAGACAAAAGACAAAAGGCAGTGCAACCCTTTGCGACCACTGCTGATGTTGTGCGCACGAGCTGGAAAGGCTGTGATGGTGTGGACCGCTACCGCAGGCAGTGTTTCTCATGAACCGATAGCAGCATGCGTTGGCTGTGTGGACCAGCTATTCAACCACACCCACCTGACGAAATTCTGCAAGGGATACACCGTTTGAACAGCCCATCTGTAGTGCCATAGGGCACGCTGGTGGACAACGTGTTGGGTGCTTGTTTCTGATTTTGCTCTTGATCGGGCGCGTTTTCCGGAAATTCGCCTTGACGGATGGGATGAAGCAGGCGAAGTACATGTTTTTGCGGGATGCCTGCTACATATCTGGAGTATTAATTTTTGGACCGGGATGTACTTTAGTTCACGAGGATAACGTTGGGTCCATTCACTTGGCGAGAAAATCGGGCAACTGCTGTACTATCCCGAACTCAAAGCAGATCGATAGTCGACACCGTTTCGTCCGAGACGGTGCCCATGCGGTGGGTGAGGTATCGTAGTCATGCGAATGCATGTGTTGGCACTGCCTGGTTGGCCTGCAGAGGGGTACTGCGTGCAGAGTTTGGGGGGGGGGGGGGGGCATCGGGGATCTCTCGGACGACGCCTACATCAATTTTGAACACTTGTGGTGTAGATGCTGGTCCACCATTCCCCCGTTGCAAAACCCTCCTCACCGAGTGTTTCCCCGCTGAGCGTCAACCCTTTTTCCTTCCAGGCGAAAATGTGAGATGAGGCACATCTATGTGGCGGCCATGACATACGGACGAAATGCCGTGGCAGGTAGATTATCGTCGAAGCAATGAAGTTTGAAGCCATCGACGGTATAAGGAACGGGGTTGATCAACCAGTGCCAT